TCAATATCAACTATTTAAACAAGCATATTCTCAACTTATTCTCCTATTAATCTCACCAAAAATCTGATTATGTTTAGATCGAGTTTAAGAACATATTGATAATTGTCGAACACGTGGAAATAGTCCTAACTTGCCAAAAATAATTATTTCGAAAATTATATTATTAAATCATATATATCATTAAATGTGAAAAAAAAATTAACATATATTCCAAACAATTATTATTTTTAAAATAAAATACCAAAATTAAATTTATTTTATTTTCTTTTGCAAATATGTGAGCATGTAAAATAATTTTTTCACATACATATTTGAAAATATAATTATACACATTTTTGGTCCAAAAAAGAAAGAAAGTTAGACACATTAAAAATAACTATTTTTTTTTCTTTTAAAAATTTGTGTGGGCGACTAAAAATTATAAATATCTTAAAAACAAATCTAACAATATATTTAATATTTTTGTGACAAATGTTTTTGGTTAATTCAGTTTGGCTTCATATAATCCGAGTTTAGTTTAGATATTTTAGTACAAAAATTTATAAATTTATTTCGGCATTATATAATTTGGTCTGCGTTTGGATTTGTTAAATTTTGATTTAGTTTTGTTGGGTTTCGATATTTTGTTTATCCCTTGATAAACACGCATTTTTATACAAAATAACCACAAATTTAATATGAATGAATATTTTCTAATTATATACATAATTGGAATGAAATTTTTTCTCATCTCATTTAATAATGGGGCAATTACAAAAATACCACTTTTTACGTGCACATTTGCAAGAATGCCACTTAGGGGTGTCCATTTACAAAAATACCACTAATTATAGATTTATAAAGCCTATATCTTAAAATTCTAAACCCTAAAAAATGTTTTGACACCTAAAACCCCATAAACACTCAAAACTAAACCCTAATAGAACATAATTAACCCAAACATAAATAATATAAAGAAAAAATAATTTTGAAAAAGTGGCATTTTTGTAAAGATTTCAAAAGTGTGGCATTTTTGTAAAGTGTCATTTTTGTAAAGTGGCACTTGAAAAGTGGCATTTTTTGAAATTTCTCTTTAATAATTGATATAATTATATTTATTGTTACTTTAAACAATTTCTCAACTATGTCATCTACTATACGAGTTAAACTACTATCTCAATGTTAATTATTTAACTTATTTTTATAATATTTGTGATGATAAATTTTCTATAAGCTAGCTATAAAAATAAATATATTTATATATCTATATATATTAATAAAATATTTTCTCCATATATACCTCACGTAAACGTCCGCATATACATCTATAAGATATACGGTGGTATATCGTCCGCCTATCGTATAACGTATTTACATAAACATATCTCGAATTTGTATACTAATTTTTGCATTAACTAAAACTTTTTTAACTAAAGCTCTCATTTCATATAATAATTCTAATATTAACTAAAAAAATTGATTTGTAACTAAAATTATATGAATTTTACATCATAAAATTAATCATCATGCGCATAGCGCGGGTGCTACTCTAGTATAAATATTATTCGGGGCCCTAGACGAATGCCTTTTAAATACATGGTAGGCACACACTACAAGAAAGAGGGTATTTTTCAGACGGATTTTCCGACGGAAAAATTTCCCTCGGAAATTTCCGACGGAATTCCGACTGAATTTCGAGAAAT